ACAACCTGGTATCACGATCCAGGCCTTCCTCGCCTCGCCGATCATCCTCGCCTCGCCGCCGCTCCGAGCTACTTCTGCCCCGCCCACCCCTCACCAAGCCGCTGTCATGGGAGACAGGGAGGCCGCCCTCTAGGCTACTCTGGATGCCCTGGCCGCCACCCTCAAGTCTCTATAGGCATCAATCGATGCCAACTCTCAGGCGATCCAACACCTGAACGCTGCCCAGCCGACGTCGTCTTCCTCCGGCAACAAGTCCGCCTCCGGGGAGCACCACCAGGACCGACCGCCACGGCTCCAGAAATTGGATTTCCCGCGGTATGACAGCAAATCCGATCCGCTCATCTTCATTAACCGTTGTGAATCCTACTTCCACCAGCAGCGCATCATGGAGGAGAAGGTTTGGATGGCCTCCTACAATCTGGAGGAGGGCGCCCACATGTGGTACATCTAGATACAGCAGGACGAGGGAATTCCGTCGTGGCGCCGCTTCAAGGACCTGCTGCACCTACGCTACGGACCTCCTCTGCGCTCGAACCCGCTTGACGAATTGGCGGCGTGCAAGCGCACGGGCACCATCGCGGAGTACCAGGATCGTTTCCAGGCGCTCCTCCCTCGCGCGGGCCGCCTAGACGAGGAACAACGGGTCCAGCTCTTCACCGCGGGCCTCCAACCGCCGCTCAGCTTCGACGTCGAGGTGCATAATCCGCAGTCCCTCGCCGGAGCCATGAGTCTGGCGCGCAAGCTCGAGCTACGGGAGCAGTACGCGACGCCTCCACCTCGCGCGGCGCCCCGAGCACTCTTACCGACGCCCGCACCGCGTCTTGCTCTGTCGACGCCACCCATGACCAGCTCGACCGCCCCGGCCACAGTCACCGTGGAGGGCCGGCCGGTCAAGCGCCTCACCTAGGCCGAGCAGGAGGAACGCCGCCGCTTGGGCCTCTGTTACAATTGCGATGAGAAGTTTGGCCGGGGGCATAACCGGGTCTACAAGCGCCTCTTCTTGCTAGAGGGCGTTGTGGAGGATGTCGAAGAGGGCGACACCGAGACGAGCCCCCACTTCTCGCTCCACGCCATTACCGGCGTCCACTTCAGCGACACGATGCAAATCCAGGTTGCGCTGGGCGACACGTCCCTCATCGCGCTCCTCGACTCTGGCTCGACACACAATTTCATCTCCGAGGCAGCCGCGCAGCGCACAGGACTCCCACTGCAGCATCGTCCCCACCTGACGACCACGGTGGCCAACAGCGAGCGCGTCTCCTGCCTGGGCGTCATCCGCCAGGCCGCGTTCACCATCAGCGGCGACACCTTCGCCGCCGACCTGTTCGTCATGCCTATCGCCGGTTACGACGTTGTCCTCGACACGCAGTGGCTCACGACGCTGGGCCCGATCCTCTGGGATTTCCACGCCCGGACGATGACATCCAAGCGGCACACGCGTGACGTCTGCTGGCACGAGATGGCTGGCCCTGACGCACCCAGCCTCCACGCGACTACTGCCAGCGCCACCCTGCTGGATGAGCTGCTCGACTCCTTCTCCGACATCTTCGCCGAGCCCCACGGTCTGCCTCCTCCTCGCAGCCGAGATCACAGCATCATCCTCCTACCAGGATCGCAGCCCGTGGCGGTCCGCCCCTACCGGTACCTGCCGACGCACAAGGACAAGCTGGAGCGGCAATGCGCCGCCATGCTGGACCAGGGGCTCATACGTCGGAGCTCCTCGGTCTTCTCTTCCCTGGTCCTCCTTGTCAAGAAGGCCGACCGGTCGTGGCGATTCTGCATCGATTACCGCGCCTTGAACGCGATCACCGTCAAGGATGCTTTTCCCATCCCGGTGGTTGATGAGTTGCTGGACGAACTCCATGGCGCCAAGTTCTTCACCAAGCTGGACCTCCGCTTGGGCTACCACCAGGTCCGCATGTGCCCCGCCGACATCGCCAAGACGGCGTTCCGCAAACACTACGGGCTGTACGAGTTTCGGGTGATGCCGTTTGGGCTATGCAACGCTCTGGCCACGTTCCAAGCACTGATGAACGACGTCATGTGTCCTTTCCTTCGCCGGTTTGTGCTCGTGTTTTTTTATGACATCCTCATCTACAGCTCATCTTGGGCGGATCACCTCCGGCACCTCCGTGCCGTCCTCACCGTGCTGCAGCAGCACCGGCTTTTCGTCAAGCGTTCTAAGTGCGCTTTTGGGGTCGGCTCCATCTCCTACCTGGGGCACGTCATCACCGAGGCCGGCGTCGCCATGGATCCCGCCAAGGTGCAGGCGGTCTGTGACTGGCCCCAGCCCCGCTCGGCGCGTGCAGTACGGGGCTTCCTTGGCTTGGCGGGGTACTACCGCAAGTTTGTCCACGACTACGGCACCATTGCGGCTCCCCTCACGGCGTTGTTAAAGGAAGGGTTCCGCTGGACCGCCGACGCCACCACGGCATTCCAGGCCTAAAGCCGCGGTCACCTCGGCCCAGTTCTGTCCCTACCGGACTTTGACAAGGCGTTCGTCGTCGAGTGCGATGCGTCGACCCACGGTTTCGGGGCAGTGCTCATCCAGGAGAAACACCCGATCACCTACTTCAGCCGGCCCGTCGCGCCGCGACACCGTTCCCTCGCCGCCTACGAACGGGAACTGATCGGCCTCGTCCACGCCATCCGTCATTGGCGTCCGTATCTCTTGGGACGCCGCTTCCTGGTGCGCACGGACCACTACAGCCTCAAATTTCTCCTCGACCAGCACCTCCTGACGATCCCACAGCATCATTGGGTCGGCAAGCTCCTCGGGCTCAACTTCATCGTTGAGTACAAGCCCGACGCCACGAACACGGTGGCAGACGCCCTCTCGCGCCGTGACACTGAAGAGGGCGCTGTCCTCGCCATCTCCGCACCTCGATTCGACTACATCGAGCGACTCCGCCAGGCTCAGGACACCGATCCGGCCCTCGTCGCCATCAGGGACGAGATCACTGCAGGCACCCGGGCGGCGCCGTGGTCCCTCACCGACAGCATGGTGGCCTATGATTCCCGCCTCTACGTTCCGCCGGCGTCACCACTACTGCCGGAAATCATGGCCGCCGTGCATGAGGACGGCCACGAGGGTGTGCAGCGCACCGTGCACCGTCTCCGCCGTGACTTCCACTTCCCCAACATGCGCCGCATGGTCCAGGACTACGTCCAAGCATGCTCCACCTGCCAGCGATACAAATCGGAACATCTTCATCCGGCTGGCCTGCTCATGCCGCTGCCGGTCCCAAAGGCGGCCTGGACCGACATCGGTCTGGACTTCATGGAGGCGCTGCCGCGCGTCGGGGGAAAATCTGTCATACTGACAGTAGTTGATCGCTTCAGCAAGTATTGCCACTTCATTCCCCTGGCTCGCCCGTATTCTGCAGAGTCTGTGGCATAGGCTTTCTTCACCGACATTGTTCAACTCCACGGCATGCCACAATCGATGGTGTCCGACGGCGATCCGATGTTCACTTCCAAGTTCTGGAGGGAGCTGATGCACCTCATGGGCGCCAAGCTACACATGACAACGGCTTTTCATCCGCAATCGGATGGCCAGACGAAGGCAGCCAACCGCGTCATTGTCATGTACCTACGCTGCTTCACCGGCGACCGGCCCCGTCAGTGGCTTCGCTGGCTGCCGTGGGCGGAATACATCTACAACACGGCCTACCAAACTTCGCTCCGCGACACGCCATTCCGGGTGGTCTACGGTCGGGACCCGCCTACCATTCGGTCCTATGAGCCGGGCGAGACTCGTGTCGCTGCCGTTGCTAAGAACATAGCAGACCGCGACGAGTTTCTGGAGGACGTCCGCTACCGGCTTGAACAAGCCCAGGCGGTCCAGAAACTGCACTACGACAAGCTGCACCGGCAAGTCTCCTACGCGGTGGGCGACTGGGTTCTACTCCGTCTATGCCATCACCCAGCCGCCTCACTACCCTAGGCGACCACAGGGAAGCTAAAGCCTCGCTTTTTCAGGCCATACCGCGTCACCGAGCTCATCAACGAGGTTGCCGTGCGCCTCGCCCTGCCTCAGCACACTAGGCTGCACGACGTCTTCCACATCGGCCTCCTCAAGAAGTTCATCGGTGATCCGCCAGCTACACCACCACCTCTCCCGATCATCCACAACGGCGCCACTGTTTCGGAGCCCGAACGGGCAGTGCGCATCCGCCTGGCTCGCGGCGTTCGTCATGTGGTCATCCAATGCAAGGGAGAAACCACGGCCTCTGCAACCTGGGAAGATGTGGACTCCTTCCTCCACAAATACCCTGCGTTCCAGCTCGAGGACGAGCTGCTAGTAGAGGGGGGGGGGAGAGATGTCATGTGGGGCCACGCCTATACAAGGAAACGGCGCGCCCGAGATGTCCGCAGAGCAGCTGAGGATTTGGGCGCGGTCACCAGGCATGCAGGCGCGCCATCTGAAGATGTGGGCGCGGTCACCAGGCATGCAGATCAGGAAGAAATGGCAAGTGGCTAGAAGGAAATAATAGCCGATCAAGGCCTTAGAATTAGGAGCAATTAGCTCCAGTTTGTAGTGCCGAATGGCCTATATATGAGGATACTCAGGATGATTAATAATCAAGCAAGAATTATTACCTAATCTCTCTTCTTCTTCCTCTAAACCAACTGGGAGCTAAGGGGCAAAACCTCGCCCCGTTACCACGGATCGCAGCTACGAACTCCGTAGCTAGGGTCCCGCTTCTCTCGGACCCGACGTCCTTGACAGAGCAGCTCTAATATGCATGCGAAAAAAGAAGCCATTGTTGTGGCCTGCCATTTCAGCGTCCATGCATCACATCGACCGGCTTCATCTATTGCACCGAAAAAGATTCTCCAGACTTCTGACATGTTACTGTATTTAGTTGATAAGGATGTTAACTGCACTAAGCCTCCAGCGATAGTAGTGTCTCTCTCTAGCTTTTCTGTCTTCTAAAATATATCCGATAATGCATGCAGTGAGATTAGACTAGGGTATATCCAACAAACGTAACAGCTCATAAGATGATTAACCGGACCATCTTTCCCAAGTACTGGAAGCATTTTGCAGCTTCTTTCAAGCACAAGTTCCTGTCCTTGCGGGTCCAGTGCTGCACAGTAGAAAACCATGGGCTCGTCAGAATAAACTCTAACGAAATCAGGGGGGAAATTACCATCTATTGCTACCTTGCTGAGCTCATTCAGCTTCTCCCTGGCATCTTTTAGTAGAAGTTCAGCATCAGTATCCCACTTGTAGAACTCCAGCTCCCTTCCTTCAAGAATTTTCTTGCAGATCTATTTCAATTCACAAATCAGTTCACTATGCTTCTAAACAGGCACTACCTAAATTCTAAGACAGTATATGCTCGGAGAGCACAATGAGGTGTAGCACAAATAATAGATAGTGTAGTGATACTGTAGGTGATATCTAGTACCATGGTGATGAACCTTTTTTTGGCCAAATATAGGGGTACCAACACACCAGGAGCCCCAAAATTTGTGAAATAACGCATCAGGTACATAGAATGCACCAAACTCATAAATTTCTCAGCAATGTACCCTTATAAGGCTAGAAGCAACCTAGCATCTGGCCCACCCAAACTTGGGCCAGAAGAATCAGTTGGTTCTTTTGCACTATCCTACACTTGCTGGTCATCACCTCCATAGTTTTACCCTGAGAAGTAGACTTCTCATTAAGAGAAGTGTTTGCATTTGTCATGGGATTGCCTTCCTAAATTCCACCTCTATTTAGAAACTCTGAACCCCAGTGTTTCAGTGGAGGATGGTATCAAAGATGAAATTAGTTTATGGTGCTTAGCCTTAGCATAGGTCATGGGTCAGGACTAGCTTCATTAGTCCAGGTTTGGGTCGTTTTTGTGGTGCAGTACCAGGTGATTGTCTCCTTGATATTTTTCTGCCCCATCTTAATTCCTTTATGAGATAAGGTGGTTGTGTTGTAAGGGGCCGTTTTTCTCTCTTTTTAATACAAAGATACACGTCTCTCCTGCATGTTTGAGAAAAAAAAAATGAAGGATGGCAGCTATCGGCCTGAGCTCTGAGAGGTGGGTAAGCCAATTACATGTGGAGGTCAGGCAATGCAGATTGCAGACACGCAGCATGACAAGTGGCAGGCCCTAATGCCTCAGAATACAACAATGACCACCTTACTAGAGTGCCAAATGCCACAGAAAATATAGGTTATGTTGCAACTATATTTTTCATGTCAGAACCAAGATTATATGTTCCAGGAGGGAGAACATTGGCATTTCTTGAACAGTTCAATTGCACTGCAATGGTACAAAAACTTAAATAATCTCATATAACTGAAAATTGGAGGAACTTAAACTTTTCACATCTAGATAAGAAATCTATAATTGCAATATCTATATTTTAGCATACTAGCAATGCCATGGGTAAGTGACATTAAACTTGAAAAGCAATAATACTGAAGATCGTATTAGGTACAGACAGTGCGTTACCTTATTGCCTATTGCCATACCTCCAGTTATATGTGCAAAATAGATATTGTAATAATGGGAGAGGAATGCAGGAGCGTTGCTCTCAGCCAGTTCAGTCAGATAACCTGCATAAGTTAATCCCGAAGTACTTGGCTCTGGGATTGCAATCCCTTGTTTTCTGAACCACTCCAAATCTTTTGAAATGCTAGCTGAACGCTCCAAACCAGTTTTCCTGAAGTAAACATCTGAATGAACATTAAATTAATTATATGTGAGTAATTAGCTGTCATTTATGTTTTAGTAATTTGATTGTTTTTCCCCTTCAGGAGCTAGATCCAGATTTGAAATATTGTGAGCTGTGAGCCTTAAACTTACGCCGTAAAATGTATGGAAAAGTCTATGAAAATTATGCATTTGTGAAGCATTTAATTGAGGTGCTTGGCAGACAAGGAAGGATGTCATGATTGTTTTCAAACAATATTTTCTGATTGGCGAGGTTTAGTAGATATTTGACTAAAACACATGCAAAGGTCTTTGTAGTTTGTAGATATGCTCAACAGCTCAAGTGCTCCAACATGGTAACACCTTCCAAGTAATTTTTTACTGTTATGACCTGCCATCTACATTCCTGGCATCCTAAGGAAAGAGTGAACAGTGTGATAGTCACTACACACAGAGAACTCAAAAACATGTTTCATTTCATTGCTCAGAATGCACCTTACACCATTTGCCAGTGAAAACGCCATTATAGAAATGTAGTACATTTCTGTGGTGTAACACATCTTACTCTATGTATGCCATTGACATTGCTGTCCAGTTATCACAAATTTGGATTGGAATACCACAAGTACCACACAATGACACAATGCTACAAACTGAACCCGGGATATGTCACAGTTGCATGGTTTCCAGCGTATCTCCAACTAGATGCTACATAAGGCACTCCTATTATTAATATCAGACTCCGAGTGTACCCTATTGCAGTCAAATCTAATAGAACGAATGTGATATTGTAGTCAAATCTAATAGAACGAGATGTGCGAACAAAATAGATAGTTCTTAGCCAGGAAGATATATCCATAGGGATTGGAGCTATCCAGGGAGTACAAGGATACCATCCAATACATTGCCAACACCCAGCAACCTAACAAGCTCACCCAGCACCCAGCATCCATGGGCAATGGTGCCTCTATAATTTGTACCAGGGTCTAGACAACTACAGTTAAGTTTACAGAACTTGAGGTGTCGCCTTGAACTGCTCACTCTATATTGCTAAATTTGTTGTTCAAATTCTAGTGTAGTAGACCATTTTCTATACGTTGAGTTTTTGAATAATCACTACATGTGCAACATATGGTTGTTGTTGTTGTTTTCGCCCAGCATTCGAATAAGTAATTGTGATCGTCACCATCCACATTTGGCTTATCATGGCATACCCAGTGCCGATAGCTCCCGCTCTGTGCAATGCGAGGAGACAACCCGGGACCTTCCGGTCACGGGTGATAAGACTCTACTGCTTGCACCAGGCCCGCCCTTCAAACTATCAGTGTTCTGGCAATATCCATGTCTGATTAGGCATGAGAGGTAGCCCTCTATACTAGTTACAACTGCTTCCCTGAATAGAATATATGCCTCCCTGAATAGAACATATCTTCAACTAGCAATCCTTTCACAGAGGTGACAATGACACAGTCTCATCAGAGCAATGTACTTATGTACAGGCAAGCATCCAAATGCATCCAACATACACCCCAAACCAGTGAAAGCACATATGCAAATCACAGACCGGGTCCGAAATTCCAATTGCGGAAAATCACAGGACACGACAACTAACCAAAATGGCACTCATGGGAAAGAATGGGGAAGAGAACCGTGACTTACAGGCGACGTCGGTGGACTCGGCGACGACCCGCTCGATGGTTCCGAAGACGAGCTTGCTGTCCACCAGGTAGCGCACGAACCCCTCCCTGCTGGGCATCCACTCCCCTGCCTCGAGTTCGCCCTCCTCCTCCTTCTCGTGCTCCTCCTTCACGCCGCTGCCGTCGTCCTCCTCCTCCTCGTCCTCCGACGCCCCCGCCCCCGCCCCCGCCCCCGCGTTCTCCGTCCCCGCCTTGTCCTTTATGGTGGTGCGCTTGGGGTTGCGCAGGCGCATGGCGACGAAGCGCATCTCCTCGGCGACGCCCACCGACTCGCCGGGGTACTGCTTCGGGTACCGCCGCGGCTTCGGCTTCGCTTCCTGCGGCGGCGGCTCAGGCGCCTCCGCGGCGACGACCGGGGGCGGAGGGGAGAGGGAGCAGCTGGTGACAGTTAGGGCTAGGATGATTCCGGGTTTGCGAGTGCTGAGGGAGCGGAGGGGAGCCACTCGCCGGGGTGGGGGCGGCGCGACCGCAGAGGCGGCGGCGGCGGCGATTAGCGGCATGGGTTTAACCGTTTGAGAGGGTTGGTTATCCGTTAGGCAAGGCGCATAGCCTTAACGGCTCGTGACTGACTGCAATAATCTCCGTGCGACACACACGCCGACTTGCCGAGTTGCCATCGCAAGACGCGTTTATTCCCGGGGGAAATTCATGGTGTACCATTAAAAAAAAAAATCACAATGCTACATGTGTTTCTGGAAAAGTTCAGCGATCTTTAGTATCACTGTTTCAATTTTTTTTTTTTTGCCCTTCATGCCACTGTCGTCAGTTTAGCCTCTAACGCCGTCAAACAACAGGTGTAAAAAGTCGAAAATACCCTTCAGTCTAAATATATCATTAATTTTTTTTAGCATCTTAACGACTTCAAATGAAAAAACTCAAAACTAGGGTCGGGTTCATAGACCTGGGGTCCCACAGGGACCGGCTTCCATGCCGAGGCTCGGCCCAAACAGGCAGCACACAACTCGTGGGCCGGCCAAAGAGTCTAAAACAACGGGTCGGAAGGGCGGTCCAGTCACCGACCAGAAGGTCTGGACGAAGAGTAACGATGCCCGCTCGTCAACTACTTCGGCCCACCTCTCCGACCGAAGCGCTCGTTTCAGACTGCAGCCGCCTCCGGACGGCCTCTCCGATCGGAAGTCCTGGCCCAAAGCGCTACTTTCGACTCCGACCCCGCGTCGCCGACCGGGGGGCACAGAAACCCTGCTCACCGCTCTTCTCCGACTGGCGCGGCCAGAACCGACTGAGGCCATTCGATCGGGGACTCCCGCTCGGAAGGAGCCAGAGGCGAACAGAGAAAGCAAACCAGGGCGCGTAAGTCAAACCACGATACCAGAGACCATACCATGTACACCTGCAGGAACAGTACTCTACAAACACCCTGACACAAACATTATTGTAAGCGCCGACATTTTTCTCTATAGTATTGTAGGCGTCGTTAAAACTTCCGTACGGTAAGACCCCCCACGTGCCTCCGGGTACCGATAGTGTTGTGGGCGCCGGGATTTACCGTATGGGGTGAACGTGGTGACACTCCTCACATGTCTCTAGGCATCAAACAATATCTACAAATACCGACGTCTACCATTCCTGAAGAAGGTAAACACAACCTCCCACATGCATCTGATATTCTACAGTAACATCAACAGTGTTGTAGACGCCTACCATTATCTTGTACCCGTCGGCATGGACAACAAAGCTCAGTAGTATACGTACCCTCACTTGTAAAGTCATCCCCTTTATCTATAAAAGGAGATACGCTCCCTCCAAGAAAGGGGAGGTTTTTCTCTCTCTGAGGCCCCCTTTGAAGAACCTTTCTCAGATTCATTAGGTCAACCAAGTTCTCTAGTCCACAACCACAGAATCACCAGGTTCGGACCTCAAGCACACGCTTGAACACTTAGCTCATAACGTAGCTCCAGTCGCTCTCGGCCCTTCCGACCGGAGCCGACCGGACCTCTTGTACACCCCATCTTTCTCCTTCTCGTTTGTAACCCCACTGCATACTTCGAGCACCTGGGCTCAGGAATAAAGTCACTAACCGACCCAAACTAGACGTAGGGCACGTTGCTTGAACCAGTATAAACCCTATGTCATTGAGTGCTATGCCACATCCGATCACAACATACGGCAAAACTACCCTCAGTTGGCGCCGTTCGTGGGGAAGACGATGTACGTTCAACACTTTTTGGTCATCGGATGGCCCACTTTCCCACCACCCTCGCCGTGGCGGGCTCGGGTGATACGATTCGCTTCGGCTCGCTGGAGTTTCCCGCACTCTCACCGGCTGGGATGCGGGTCCCGCCCGTCTTCGAGCCATCCTAGGCCTTCCTCTCCAGAAGCCTGGACTTCGTTGCTGACCGGCTCGGAGAACTGCACCTCCGCAAGGAGGCTCACGTCCCGGCACCCGTCGGAGGGGCGCCCTCCATCAACTCTGGGACGCACAACTTCGACGACGCGGCATCTGCGCTTCATTCCGAGCAAACTCTCTGCTCAAACCCCGCTGTGAGTAATGTACACGCTGTTATTTACTTATTATTTTCTATCTTCTGCCGATTACCCGGTGGAACCCTGTTGTCCCCAACGCAACCGTCGTACGACCGGTTCCCCTACGGCCTCGCGTCTTCCGCAGACGCATACGCCTGGGGGCTCCAAAGGATGCCAGCACCGCCCCCTCTCGCATCCGAATTCGTGGGAATGATGAGCTATGCTCCCACCTGTCTCCTCGACCTCATGGATGACGATGGCGAGAGTGACAGCTCCAGCATTAGCGACATGGCACCTAGCCATCGTCTGTCCCGGGAGTATGCCATGGCGGACGCTCCGGGACACCCACCAACAGAAGCGGAGTCCTCACGGACTCACACCTCTCTGGACCCTCACGTAGAGACCCCCGAGCTCACACTTGAGCAAGGGGAGGAACTACGACAACGGTGGCTGCATCAGCCACCAACTGCGCCACCACGCTCGGCGCACCTCGTTGCGCCCCGTGCGCGTAGACTGGTGAGCGGTGCTTGGGGTCGTGCCCATCGGGTCCAGCACAATGCCATGGATAGGGGGGGACGATCCCTCGCAGTTCACTCGGGCGAACCAGAACATCGCCGCCACGGCAATGCTTCTGTGCGGCCTGTCCGAGCCGAACGACCCTCATGAACAGGCGATCCACCGGAACCTCCGGGCACTAGTGGAGACCGCCGCCGTTCAACAAGCCGAGTGTTCCATATCGCGACACCGACTCACGGCCTCGCTCCCCGTCAGGGGAATAGGGACGTAGCAGATGGGACGCTCCACCTGATCGCCGCTACAATCGTCGAGCGCGGCACAGGAGGCCGCATTGGCACCTCGTCTTGACCTAACGATCGCTCTGCACCAACCGCCTATGTATGCACGGCTCGGACCGAGCCGAGGCGCATGCGGCAGCAACCGGAGTCCCAGTCCTAATGGCCTGGGACCGCGGACCTCTATCCAAAACCCCCAACAAACGCCGCCCCCGCGGCGCTACAACGAAGGCCGGGGCAAGGGCAAAGCCAAGCACCAGGATCAGGATGAGGGCCCCTCCATGCAGAGGGGGAAAAAGAACAGAAAGTGTCGCCGCCGACCGGCCAACTCTACGTTGGTCGACATGGCCAATCACGCAGGCACGCAGCCCCAGCAGGACCCTCTGGGCCACTTCCACGAGCTCATGGAGAGCCCGTGCACCAACCACGATTACCCCATAAAATACCTCTACAAGGACTGCCAGCTCCTCAAGCGCCTTCTACGATAGATCGACAAGCCAAAGAAAGAAAAAGGCGAAGAAGCAGCAACCATGAAAGGGGGCATGGCGGGCAAGGATCCGGACGACTAAAGAACGAAGTAATCCGACCGGACGCCTACCGACCGAAAAACAACAATGACGCCCCTCTCTGCGAACGCTTGGAATAGCTATGTCGCTTTTCCCCCTAAGTTTCAGTCTTACCATTGTTTACTTAGCGTACGCTCCTATAAGAGCACCCTGACCCGAACACTCTTTCGGCCCGAGGCGCTCAGGGGCTCCACTAGGGTACACTACTACCTCTCTATTTTGTTTACTATCATATGGTGAAATTCCTTCCTACCCAACCAAAAGGATAGCTTGCTCCTTCAATTTTTCTTACGTAGCTTTGCTTTAAAAACATTCCGACCAATCGCACCCCGCCTTTCCCTACGGTTATGAACAGCCGAGCCTCGCGGGCCACGCCCCGGGCTCCCAAGGTCACAGCCTACGAGACAAACGGGTAGGTACGAGAAAGAAAAAATAAAGAAACAAAATTATGCTAAGGAAAAAACTAAGGAACAGAAGGGGAACATGCTTCCCCGAACGGAGTGACTCCATCATAGAAAATGAAACAAACCATAGTCATTAAAACACATAGGAACGTTTACACAGGGGCTCCCTCACAAATTTAAACTTTCTAACACTCACTAAACTACTTATATTTTACAAGTTATTGGACTGGCCCGGTGGCATCTGTTGTCGGTGCGACCGATGAGGGCATGGGCTGCTCACTCCCCGGTGGTGCGACATTTGGCTCGGTCGGGGCCGGGGCGACATTCACCTCCGACCCAGGATCCACGCCATCCGCAGGCTGGGCAGCATCCTCCCCATGCATGCTTCTGGCCATATCTTCATGACGGACGTCCATCACCCACTGGGCAGAGACCTGATCTGCCACTGACCTTGCGTGCGGCAGCAAGCCCTCCCCGATCGACTAGATGTCCTCCATGCTCAAGCCTTCAGCATACCCATTGTAGATGGCGGCGAAGTCCAGGTTCAGGTGGTGCGTCACCACCAAAGTCAGCACCCTCGATGCCCCATAGAATAGCCTGCTCCTAATAAGGTCCCGAACCACCTCCGGGACCTCCGCCAGCTGGACGACGGGCGCGCTAGTGCTTGGCGCCGACCCGAAGACGTCCGAGACGACGAGCTGGGCAACGTTGTGGATCTGGTCAAGATCCCTCTCAAGAGCACGTCGCTCTTCCTGGGACTTGGCCAGTTCCTCCGCATTCCAGCTGAAGGTTGCCTTGATCATCTCCAGGTCCCGCTCCAGCGTCTTCACCTTTCCACCCAGCTCTGAGAGAAGAGCGACAAGCTCAGAAACAGGCTGAAGGAAAAAACCAAACAACGAAAAACAGAAAAGGTATGTACCGACGTGGAAATTCTCAAGGGTGGAGAGATCCTCTACCTACCGGGCCGCTTGCTCGCGCAGCCAGGCACTCACATCCTCTGTCCCCATCACCTGGCCCCGGAGCGCGAGCACCTCCTGGTTCGCCTCCGACCGGGCCTTCCGCTCTGCCTCCAGGGCCTTACGCGCTGACTCTAGGGCGTTCTATGCCGACACCAAAGTGGCTCGCTCCGGCTCAAGGGCCGCCAAGGACTCTTGGAACACCGCCTCGGTGTTCGCCAGGGATGTCCGCAACCCCGCCTCGGTCTCCGCCTGACGGGCCTTCGCCGCCTCGAGCCCTTGCTCGGCAGCAGTCGCCC